AGTTACCGTTTCCTCCTCTATACATTTGTTTGTAAAATTTCGCTCACAATTTGTAACAGGGGTCTCCTTCATCTTTCGAGAGTCTTATTTACAACGGGATGACAGTAAAATTCGCGGTTTTATATGTGACAAATAAATCGCAATTCGACGTTTGTTTACGACGATAACCTATATATAAACGACACGTGCGACCCTCGAACCGGGAGTTCAAACAATGTAGACGGGCAACGTGTCAGAATATGCTTCGGGGCAAAATTATCAGAGATTTGTCTCTTTTTTTATTCCTGCACTGGATTGCACTAGAATTTGGCCGTCATAATGAATCTTTTCCTCAAGTGATGAAAGTAAAACATTTCATTTCCGAAAATTTATTAATTGTCTATAGGCAGAGAAAAACTTGAGTCCTTGAGAGCAGCCACGGCGGGCGTTTGAGGTTGATTCCAGCGCCTCTCGTCCATTTTCATTTTTGGAACTACTCCGCTACGCCCATTTTTCAAGCGGGTAATGCAGTGCCCAATTTTGGTTGTGTTCCGTGCTGCATGCATGAAATGTCGGTAACACGAGAGTGTTATTAATTTTTCGTAACAGGAGTAATCATTCATAGTTTAATATCTATAGTTTAATATCAATATCAAAATTAAAAATCAACCATAGTTTAATATCAATGACGTAACATTGTAAGTTTTCGAAAAGAATTTTACTCTGTTTGTATTGACTTGCGTTGTTTGCGGCCGAAAATCGAGCGCGCATTCCAATAGATTGTTTTTCACCGAGGTGTTTACGGCGCTACGTCATTTCGTGGAATCCGCGCGCGGTTTTTGCGGCGTTTACGGCGCCGTACTCAGGGTCATTCACGCGGCGACAGTCGAATTGATCGGTTACGCCCGCGCCGCTTCGCATATCGTATTATTGTCACTTGACACGCGTTCGCGACAAGTGCGCGACGAAACCGCGATCGCTCTCTGCGAATAATCGGTGAGTGATATCATCGTGCGATCGCTGAATTCCCGCGATTTGCCATCGATGCTCGATGTAATCGAACATTTCGTAGTGGAAATCGGACACAGTCAAAACCGAAGAAGTGGCATTTGGATACAGTGACAGTGACAGGTGATTTTACAAACGGTAGTGTAAATTCGCGAGTGAAGTGGCATTTGGATACAGTGACAGTGTCAAGTGATTTTACAAACGGTAGTGTAAATTCGCGAGTGAATTGGCATTTTGATACAGTGACAGTGACAAGTGACTTTACAAACGGAAGTGTAAATTCGCGGGTGCGTCGGAGTACAACTGAGACAGCGACACCTGAGAGGAAGCCACCTGAGTGGAGGAGTGTAGCGGAATAGTTCGAAAAATAAAAATGGACGTAAGGCGCTGGAATCAGCCGAGCGAAAACGATATCAAGTAACACGCCGGCGTGGCCGCTCTCAGGTTTCTCTCTGGTTTTACCATCTCCGATTAATTTAATGGGATTAAGTGTCAATCGTGATTGGTCAATTCTGCTTACGATTCTTGCGATCGGTCAATACGAATGGGCGAATGAAATTTAATCATATAAATGCGTGCGTGTTTCTTTAAAGACGAAGATAAAATTTACAGTTCTTTATTTTGGTCGGAAAGTCCTTAATGGTATTTTCTTTTTATTTAAAATGTGATTGGATACAACTAAATTGTAACAAACTTAACTTGGAAAAGTCAAGTCAGTATCTTTTAAATTATCAGCGATCCACGTGCTAAATTTGTCCTCGATCTCCGGTGTAAACATACTTTTCCAACCACCAGTCTTTCCTTGTCGGATGAATATATCTGATTTGACGGGAGCGTTAGCAGACGGCTGATTCACCATTGAATTATTTCGGAAATTCTCTATTTTCAAATGCTCCGCTAACTTGGCGATCTGCTCATCGCTGTAATTTTTACCGTAGAATGCGGCAATTTTTCTTATGTTTTTAGGTAAGTCCTATGTAAAATAACAAAAAATGTTAAGTGCCTAGTGAGAAATGATTCGTCGTGACGTTGAAACAATGTCGAATCGACATCGTTTCGACATCGATCGACGACTTATTTCTCTCTGGATATAGTTCAACTTAGAGATACATACGTAGTACTTTTAATTATCTTTTAAATTTTCTAATCGGATTTTTGAATGATATAATCGAGTTTTATTAAGATGGTTCAAATTCAAGTAATTATATATAACTGGATATTAATATTCCACATAAAAAAATTGTCAAAAGTAAAAAATATTTAATTATTTCTTCCTACGACTTTCAGAGAACAAATTGACGTATCACAAAATTAAAAACATTTTTTTCCTTTATGAGTTGGTGCAATAAGTTGGCATTTTCTTCTATCTCACCTTTATCAGATCTTCATAGAAGAGAAACATCATATTTGCTCTGTGTCTCATCGCCCAAGCTTCCTTTATATGTTCCCAATAGGGACTCCAAATCGCTAAAATTGTGGAAAGTAAATTCTTAGAAATGCAACTGACAAAAATTAATTGAGCTGAAACGATGAAGCAACATTTCGCAAAGCTTACTCTGATTATTAATGAAATTAGCACAGTACTGTGCGAAAGTTCCCTGATACCATTCCAAATTCTCTAATAAGTACCACGAGACTACCACATCTCTTGGATTTCTTGCGACGTAAATAATCTAGGAAAAAAAATTTATGTACAGTGTTGTCTCTAAATTTTTGTTATCTAATTCTAATGCATTAGATTTCACACACAAATTGAGATCAAAAACAATAAATATGAATGTAACTGCTTGAATATATCGATATATGTATGACAACTGCTTCGTGGGATTTAAAATAATAATCTCGATGGAACTATCGTCTATGTTTTTAATTTTCTTCTCAACGTTTTTCATATCTTTGCTCATTTTTTATGAACAGTTTCTGTATAAATATACGGTTAATTTATGAAATATTTGATTGCAAACGCACCTTGCAGGTACTGTTTACCACTGTCGGTAACAGTTCGAGAGGCAAGTGACTCTTAATGAAACGCGGCGAAGGCTGACTTTGCACAAATTCGATACTATATTCCTCATCAAATTTCTCAGCATTAACTTTTTCAGATAAGCCTTTTATCAAATAGTCGTCTAATATTATCTCGAAGCTAAAAAGAAAAAGAGTTTTTCTGATACACTAAAGCATATAGTTTAAAAGAAATTCAGAAGTTGACCAGTTTTAATTTTATGAGCATCGGTTTTATGAGAAAAGTTTCTTTCTAACGCAAAGGTTTATGAGAAAAATAAAAGAAATTAATTTGAGATTTTCCACATATGTATATATTTTTATTCAATCCAGAGTGGGATATAATCTATAAAATATCTCACGTATTCTGAATAAATAAAAGTATACCATGAAATAAATGCTTGAAAATACTAATTTAGTCTTTATTAAAAATTGTCTGACATTTACGTAAGAAATTTTCTTTCTACACTGAAGTGTGAAATGCATATGTTTTTCTGCAATTTTATGTAAAATATATAATATATTATACTGTACTCTATAAAGGGAACTCTGTCTCTTAAATATCTTCGACGTGCTTCTTCGAAATTCATGTCATTGGCGATCAACCATACAAGTTCCTGCGTCATTGTTGTACCTAGTCAATAGGTAAATATAATTAACTTTCTGACATAGCAAGAAAGTACAAAGCTTTTCTTTTCCATAGTTTTATTATTCACGGTACGTTTTATTCTTACAAAATTTTTATCTTTTGATAACATTGATCCAAGTTTCAATAAGAGTGACACTCTTTGCAAAAGTATAAAAATTATCGACGCAAATATCGATGCCATTCCAACAATTTTGTTTTCAAATAATTTGAAATAAAGAGCACTGACCAAATAATTATTTAAAATAAAAGATTGAATCTATAGTTCATCGAGGTATAATTTTTTTCATAAACTTACATTTCAAACTTTACATTATATTTTCTTGCTAAAAAATATTTAAATTAAAAAAGTTACAATAGTTCAGAATTTATTACTTTTGAAATGAGATTACGTGAAATGTATGATAGTTTCGTTTCATTGAAAGATACAATTTAATATTCGGTACAATTTTTCTTACACTACGCGACATTCACATGACATAAAATTTGCAAGATTTTGTATAATGTTTTAGATAATATAAAAAAATTGATGCTGTTGCTCTGGAGTTGCTCTTTTAAATTGTTTTACTTACAAATACAGGATTCAAATTCCAACGTAGAAAATAATTTACCTGATCTGGGATGAGTAATGACCCATGTATCATCTGGACGAATTTTGAAATTATATATCTTGCCACCCTTCTCAACATATTTATACGGCAAGAACCACTCTTTCTGACCGACTTTAACGAAACCGTCTTTATGACACGGATATCGTTTCAATAATTCAGCCGCCAGTTCATCCTTGATGCGTTCCACTTTCAGATCCTCGAAAGACATGTTACGTTAACAGCTTCTTCGTCGATTAGAATTAGTTTCTTATTTCGTTCGTGTGTCTTCGAGGCCGTTAGCATACTAACAATAGGTATGAAAAGCGAAAGTTTCATGGAAGTGTATACGAAAATATATACAAAACCTTTTTGACCCACGGATAATCACGAAATGTGTGTATGTTCATGTACATATAGGGTTGTGTAAAACCGGTCCCAAGAATAAAATACTGTTCTACTTGCTTGTTACACGATTTTCAGTTTTAATTTATAGATACAATATTAATTATTTTTTATTTTTTTATTTTCTTAAGTGTTGAAATTAAGGCCTTTGTGATGTGAATGTATCTATCGTTTATTTCCCATGTAAATCTAACTCAAATAAAAATTCAGTTTTATTATAAAGGTATAAGAAGGTAAACGTAACGAAAGCAACACACAACATTTTGATGATTGAAATAACTTTTCTAATCTAGGATACAAATCGATGTATTATTCGGAGTTTCATAATTATACCTTATATTGTCGATCTCATTGCTTATACATATATTGTACATACAAGATACGTATTACAAAACTTTTTGGAATGAATTCCGATTGTTAGATAGGTCTTTCCTCGATTTCTATTGTACTTCCTAGGTAAAGCGGAATATTCCGATCGGGATTCATTTAAGAAAAATTGCACAATATGTATCCAGTAATCATTTCTTCTCATCAATTTTTAAGCGATCGCGTTTTGTAATCTGATCCCAGTGAGAAACGATTCGTCGATCGATGTTGAAACGATGTCGATGTCAATTCGGCATCGTTTCAATATCGATTGACGATTCTTTTCTCGCTAGGATATATTTTTAGTAACGCGTTTCCCAGCTTATTCATCACTAAGGTCCTCCATACGTGCTTCGATAATTCCAGTATGTCGTAAGTTCATAATATTACTTAATTTACATACATATGAAACCAGTGCCATAAGTACCTTACCTAGCCATAAGTACCTACACCAGTGACATAAGTGCCATACATAATTATAAGAGGACGCACAAATAAATATATGTCGACATATTTAGAATAATACAAAAATTAATTCATAATGAAAAAACACAATGTAAATTACATGAATTTTGTATGCGGACGTGTTTCGATCAGCAAAGACAAAAACGGGCTTTATAATTCTTTGGCGACAGTATTCATAAATTGCAGCTACAATTGCTTTCATTGTAACAAACTTGGAAAAGTCAAGTCCGTATCTTTTAAATTGTCAGCAATCCATTTGCTAAATTTTTCTTCGATCTCCGGTGTAAACATATCTTTCCAACCACCGATCTTTCCTTGACGGACGAACAACTCAGATTTTATGGTATCGTTAGGAGATGGCTGATTCACCATTCGATTTTTTCGGAAATTCTCTATTTTCAAATGCTCCGCTAACTTGGCCATCTGCTCATCGCTGTAATTCTTACCGAAGAATGCAGCAATTTTTCTTATGTTTTTAGGTAAGTCCTGTGCAAAATAATTAAAAATGTTAAGTACACAGTGAGAAATAATTCGTCGCGATCGACATTGAAACAATGTAGAATCGACATCGTTTCGACATTGATCGACGAATTATTTCTCTCTGGATATAGTTCAACTTAGAGGTACGTAGTACTTTTAATTAATTTTTAGATTTTCTCATCGGATTTGAATGATGTAATCGTGTTTTATTAAGATGATTTAAGTTCCAGTAATAATATATAACTGGATATTAATATTTCAAATTAAAAAAATGGTCAAAAGTAAAATATATTTAATTATTTCTTCCTATAACTTTCAGAGAACATATTTGTTCATGACATAATTAAAAAAATTATTTCTTTTATGAGTGGGTGTAATAAGATAGCATTTTCTTCTATCTCACCTTTACCAGATCTTCGTAGAAGAGAAACATCATATTTGCTCTGTGTCTCATCGCCCAAGCTTCCTTTACATGTTCCCAATATGGACTAGATAGTGCTAAAATTGCGGGAGATTAGATTTTTGGAATTGCATTTGACGAAAAGTAAATTGAGCTTAAAGGACGAAATGTATACTTTACTGAGCTTACTCTGATTATTAATAAAATTATTACAGAACTGTGCGAAAGATCCTTGATACCAATCCATAGTTTTGTGAAAAATATACCACGAGACTACCACATCTCTTGGATTTCTTGCAACATAAATAATCTAGGAAGAAAATTATCGTTTAGGTACTGCGTTGTTTCTAAACTTTCATCTTCTAATACATTCCTTTCACGCATGAAATGAGATTAAAAACAATAAGCTCGAATGTAACTACTTGAATATAGATATATGTATGACAAATGCTTCGTGGAATTTAAAATAATAATCTCAACGGACTTATATTTTTTAATTTCCTTTTCAACGTTTTTCATATCTTTGCTCATTTTTTATGAACAGTTCCTGTATAAATATACAGTTAATTCACGAAATATTTGATTGCAAACCTTGCAAGTACTGTTTACCACTGTCGGCAACAGTTCGAGAGGCAAGTGACTCTTAATGAAACGCGGCGAAGGCTGATTTTGCACAAATTCGACACTATATTTCTCATTATATTTCTTCGTATTAGTCCTGTCAGGCAGGTTTTTCGGTGCCATATGGTCCTCTATCATTGCTCCTAGCCTAAAAAGAAAAGGACTTTTGGACATAGTAAAATTTAAAAAATCATGAATTGACAATTTTTCACTGTCATAAGCATCATTTATGAGGAAAGTAATAGAATAGAGATTCAAATCAGGTTTTCTATATACTTTTATTAGATTCAAAGTTGAATATATAATCTAATGAAATGTCTCTTGCATGCTAAACAAAAGTAGACGATGAAATAAATACTTGGAAATCGAAATATAGTTTTCATTAAACCGTAAAGTAGAAAATACATGTTTTTGCACGTAAAATATATTACGTATTATACTTTATGAACATATGTAATACTTTACTCTATAAGGGGAAATCTCTCAACTAAATGTCTCCGATAAGCTTCTTCGAAATTCATGTCATTGGCGACCAACCATACAAGTTCTTGCGTCACCGTCGTGCCTAATCAATACAATAGGTAAATACGTAAAGTAACATGTTTTACAAAAATTTACAGGAACTTGCATATTTTTCCATTTATTAATATTTAATATTTTTTATTCTGTCTGAAATTTTTGCGTTTCTATAACATTGACTCAATTGTTTCAGTAACAATGACACTTCTTGAAATATCAACTGTTTTACGCCAATATCAAAATTACGATTTAAACTATTTTATTTTTAAATAGTTTGAAAAATAAAAAGAACTGACAGAAGGATTATTTAAAATAAAATATTGAAATTATCGTTCAATAAACTATCATAATTTCATCATAAATTTCCAAATTCTTCGCTTTAATTAACCCTTAGCTGGCACCGTGCGTTACTAAACGCCCCAGCCTAGTTCATCTCAAATTTAAGACCCCTTATAGCACGAAAATTGTACTTGTGGTGCCATGTCTTGTTCCCAGTGTGCAGCTATGTAATTCTGCTAAAGTGTGCCAACCATCATTAACCGCGATGACGATACATAACTGTACGATAATCTTAAGTTTCATGTTTGATATTTTGTTTTTGTAGTTATATTTCTGTGCGTATCTTTTATTTTTCCGCTACAAAGAAAAGCGACGTCATGGACACGTCGTTCGATAAGAAAACCATTTTCCAACTGCTACATTCCAGCGTAAACTTATATAATAAAATATATTATTTTTAATTATAATGTTTGCATCAATTTACGCTCTTGAATTACACTTTTAAATTGATATCTATTTCCAAATACAAAAATAAAATTCCAACTTAGGCAACAATTTACCTGATCTAGAATGGGTAACGATCCATGTATCATCCGGACGAACTTTGAAATCATATATGTTGTCACCTTCCTCAAAAAATTTGTACGACACGAACCATTGTTTCTGACCGACTTTAACGAAACCTCGTTTGTATAACGGATAACGTTTTAATAATTCAACCGCCAGTTCATCCTCGATGTATTCTACCTTCAGATTCTTCAAAGACATGTTTCGTTAACAGCCCCCTCCTCGTCGATTAGAATTAATTTGCAATTTCGTTCGTCCTCGAGGCTGTTACCACACTAACAATAAGTATAAGAAGTGAAACCTTTATGGAAGTGTATACACAAAACCATTTCACCTATGAATAATCGCAGGTGCATTTACGAGCAGTGCATTTATATAAAAATGCACAAACATACGTATACAAGTTCTGTTATACATATACTCGTAATTAATACTAATAATTGCTTTACTCCAACAAAGAAATAATTATTTAAACGTGCATTCAGGGAGCGCGCTTTTAGCGATAAAAGCGTCTTCTATCTTTGTGCGACATATAGTGAGTGACGAAGATAGACGAGTGCTTTCAGCGCTAATAGCGTCTCCCCGAACGCAGCCAAAGTATGCTATAAGTTATAGTCAGACAAGGTCAAATATAACAATGTCATTTCAGTATGACGCAAGTCCATAATTTTCTTTAATTTGCAGGCGTGAAATAAGTACCATAATTATAAGAGAAAAACGCGTGACCATATCGACATATTTAAGGTGCGTTCGGGCAATATGAAGTCCCTAGAAGCTTGTTTTATCAAATTTTGTAAGATTTCTGGGAGCTCAGCGAAACGAATGCCTTGGAAGCTCGTTTTGCCGAATTTTGTAAGCTCCCCGGAAGCTCAGCGAAATGAACTCCCTAGAAGCTTAATCGGAGCTTTGTACTGTGTGGTTAGCTTATTCATAACTGAGGTCCTCGATATGTGATTCGATAGCTTTCTCGAGCAAATATCAACGATTCCTTCAATCTTTCTAAAACTATGTATATAATGTTGTTCACCTATTTACTACTTAATAATATGGTAATTGTGCATAAAAGCGACTTCCTCTCCGATTCGCTTGATTTTTAAATATGTTGTTGGGGATGTCTTCCCGAGTAATTTCATATACAGGGTGTCTGATGCAAAAGTAGCCACTTTGAAAATAGTGGTAGATTGGGTTAAACTAAGGAGAAATATCATGTACCGCGGTACAAAGTAACAATAGTTTTCGAGTAGTAAATTTACACGTTTGAGCGAATGAGGATGCAGGAGACGGTAGGCCGGACTCGGAAGGCATTTAAAAAAATCGATCGATGATCGGGAGGTGGAGCGACGCGCGAGATACACCATGGTGGGAAAAAACCTAGGCGCGGCGGGGAGCGCGGCGCGGGCGGCGAGCGCGGCAGCGAGCGCGAGCGACG